TATATATATATATATATATATATATATATATAGAAGATAGATAGATAGATAGAGATAGAGGGAGAGAGTGAGAGAGAGAGAGAGAGATAGAGAGTGAACAGAATTAAGATTCTTTGACTCACCTTCCCAATATAGAAGCTGTATCCAACGAACAGAGAGGTAATAAGCAGGCGGAGACACATAGAGAGGCTGGAGGGGGAAGAACTGTAACCATGACGACGACAACACAAACAAAAACATGCGGACCGCAAAAAGATGCGGACCGCAAAAAGATGCAGAATGAATATTTTTCATATATATATATATATATAGCGTGTTTATTCTGGCGACTTGAACGGAACACCGTTTCTTGTTTTTCTTTTTTTATATTTAAAGCAAGACGCTCAACGAGAAAGTGACGTCGATACGTGGCAAAATATGACAGTTAAAACAGGTAGGACAAGCCAACAACACACAATCAGACTTCGTACACGTACACACGTCCTGTTACTGCCGCCGAGTTACTGGCAAGGTGCATGAGAGCACCTATGCTTTAGACTGACACCGAGCATGTACGTTCGTGGATAGTTAGTGATGCAAGGCTACATTTGGTGTCTGTCTACAGCACAGTGCACCCATTATATCATTTCATATCTGTTTGTTAGAGATAGATCCATCTGATCAGGATCCCTCGATCCTCATCTCCCCCCAAACAAATGCAAACTAACTTTCAACAGATCACATTTCGCTGTGACCTATCACAGGATGGTTCGTAACAAACAACAAGCCGTGATTGGCTGGGTCGCACGCCGCCATATTGGATCCCCCTGCAAATCCCCCTCACCAACAGGTTTAAGAATTTGTGATCTGGATCACTGAACGGTCCAAACAAACGCGCAGGATCACTGGATCCATGTGATCAGGATCATACGATCCGCCCCAAAAAATACGCACTACATCACAAGATCTTGTAGTGCTGCCACCTAGTGACACATCAGGAAACTAATATTGAATGCCGGGTGCTTTGCTAACACAGTGACAACAGTGAGTGAGGCCTACAAGGGGGGGGGGGGTCGGTAAAGCCTAAAGGTACACGCCCCACATATAGACTGTACTTATATATAGTGACAAGAAAGTTACACAGTGTCCAAATAATTTCCGCTGGGCTCGCAAAAAAAGCCTGACATTGGTCCGCTACACTTCAGTTTATATCTCCGTATTTCTGTACATATCACGTTGCTTGTAATATACGCTGCCTCGCTCACACAGAAACACACACGCACGCACGCACGCACGCACGCACGCACGCACGCACGCACGCACGCACGCACACACGCGGACACCCCACCTTCCACATCATTGATTTTTCTCAGCAAGTTATAAGACATTTATAAGTCAGCAAACACAGCATGCACAAGTGGAGCATATATGCAGATCGCATGCAAATCGATTTGCTCATTGCCAGTCAGGCTGATATTGTGTATTTTGTGTACACCTTACATACAAGGCCAAGTTTCATCACAAGTACACGAGGGAGTGCAAGACGAGAGAGAGAGAGAGAGAGAGAGAGAGAGAGAGAGAGAGAGAGAGAGAGAGAGAGAGAGAGAGAGAGAGAGAGAGAGAGAGAGAGAGAGAGAGAGAGAGAGAGAGAGAGAGAGAGAGAGAGAGAGAGAGAGAGAGAGAGAGA